GAGAATTCGGGGAACAAGCATTTCTTTCCCCGAGCTGGAGCAGTTAGCGAATATCCAGTAAATAGACAACGAGACCAAGATTAAACAGTGAGAACTTATGACTTAAAAAATTCTTTGAGTCCCGTTTTTTGAAATTTAGAGAGTCTTAGTTTTGTTTTAATTTTGGTTTTTTTCTTGAAAATTTTAGTTTTATACTTGTAACATTTTTCAAGACAATAAGTTAACCATTAAAATTTATAAACGTTTATGCAAAAAAAGTTCATAAGACTTCATGGGAAAATTGGTGTGAGCACCTCATTTCAGTGATGTTACTGAGATGCTCGCGTGTGCTAGGTGCAGCTATGCCATGCCCTTCGATTCTGTTCTACGTATCTCCAGTTAGTGCCCATCGCATTAATTTACATAAACATGTCAAAAAATATGCATAAATGTGAAAAAAATACCACCCAATTATCGGACCAATCATTGATGAGTGGACAGTAACCGCTATATGTAAGTATATGGAATCCGAATCGTTCCACGGGTTCTAGTTGTTTCGCTGTGCTTGTAATTCGAGAATCAGCCTCTTTAGACGCTTCCATCTGTAGTTTATTATGCAAATGCAACCTATAAAACTTATATAATTAGTAAGATAAGTTGCGTTTCATGAAATCACTAGGACAGTAATACCTTCAGAAGACGAAACAAATTTTTTAAGCTGCAAATTTCATGAGACCACAGTGCTGATAATCTCCTTCAGGAAACGAAATGGACGTCAAAATCGCTAGAAGAATTACCGCCAAGTCTTCCAGCATTAGTCAAAGTAAATTCAGTTGCATAGAAAAAAGGTATATTGTACGTAATTTTTGCGTCCTTCCAGAAAGTTTGATAGAAAGTGACACCTTTGAGACAACAGAAGTTACTTGGAGCACATGGAGTGCAGTGTATATAAAACCCATAAATTTAGCAGATTTTCAAAATTAGTATTTTTGCGCTTTTCTGTTTTCTCAAGCTAATGAGGTACCTAGCTAATAGGAAAGAGGAAATGAGGAAGAAGATGGAAAACGAAAAAATTCCAAAACTAAGAAAATTCTATTTTTTTTGCCACTAGCATTAAGTTCAGTGATAAAATAGTCTTACAAAAGAAAAAATTTAAAAACAGAATCATCGGGGGCACATTTCAACCCGAAAGAGCATAGTCACATGCCACCAAAAGTTCGCAAAAATAGGCATAAAATATAGCTGGAAAATTGCAAATTACAGCCGTAATAGCTCAAAAATTAACTTGAAGGTACTTGGACATCAAGGTCTAAAAATTTATGGCATTGAAAATGACTTCTGCTTAAAAAAACTGAAGGTATTTAGGAAAAGCAAAAGTAATGCTTTTCCGTCAGAAGCTGGATTTACTATTTCATCAAACCTTGCAACATCCGTGCCAAGCTGCTCGGAATTCGATGGACCACTCATATCCAAGAATTCCATTGCTAAGCACTGCTCATCACCCACAGAGAATCTCTAGAACTAGTAAGAGTTTTTAAATGAAAGGCCAAAATTCTCTAATTATTTGCTATTTATATGAGAAAGCACACGGAAATAGTCCGAATGGTAGCAGATGCCAACACCAACCACCTGCCGGCAAAACTACTGATGGCTCCCTCTTTTGAGTATAAATCTCAATAACTATTTTTTGGAAAGTACTATAAGATTGGTACCTTGATCGGTTTTGGCACTCGAATTGTCTTCGTGTTCATTAACGCTTCCAAACTTGCAAACTCCCCATCAAACATTTCCGCCGCCTAAACCATCTTGGATGTATCGTTTTTTTGTTTTTCAAATTTATTAGGGAAGAAATAAATAACTATTGGAAACTGATGCTAAGATACCAGGCTTAAGCAGATTGATAAACGCTATTCCAAGAGTAAGTTCACAGTGAAGTAAACCAAAAATACTAAAATAGCAGACCTAGAGAATGCATGAAAATAGCCAATATTAACTCATCTCGGTCCGCCAATATATACACGTCTTAACTTAATGCAACAACTGGACTTCGTCAGTGACACAAATTATCATTATTACATAACAAATAAAAGTTAGGGATTAATGATATGAGTGCGAGACGTAATTGTGGAAAAGGGTGGCAATGCAAACAGAATAGGAAAAAAATTGAAAAAATGCTTTAGTAAAAGCCACAGCTGATAAATATTTTCACATTTTACGGAATCTTTGTTCTCATTGACCTTTGTCTCCTTTTCCCAAACTTAGTTAAGTCTCCTCGTTCTGATCAGCTAGAATTTTTGATCACACTTGCGCCTGTCATTACAAGTGTTTTAAAAATTTTAAGGATACAGACAATGAATGTCCTTGGCTAGGAGACTGGAAGAGGACGGAGGCCTGGAATTCTCTATATGTTAACAAATGCAGTTTGGTTTTGACAATTGATGAAAACAGTGGAAGTGCTGTTTAGCCTCCTGCGTGTGCAAAGTACTGTATGGCACCCAAGCAAAATCAAAAAGAACACAGGGAAGCTGCCTATTCAGATACCACTATGTGCTTATATTACTGGACAATGCTCATTAAGTACAAAATTCATCAGGAAGAACAGAAATTTGCATATTTCGTTAAGGGTCCTGTAGGTAAGATCTAGGCGCGTATGCGCGGTGGTATTAAAATGTGGCGCTAACACATGATATGAGAATGTGCTCCCAAAATTTCAGCCTCCCAGCTTTCCAGTCACTGAGCTGTAACTGGGTGATAAAGTTCACTCGTTTTTCCAAACCCACACACATACAGACACACACACACACATACAGACACACACACACACATGCACGCACACAACACACACATATTACAGAGAGAGAAGGACAGCCTCTCGACAATATGCGCTTTTGCATTTGCATACTATACAAAAAAATGACCTTTTCATTATCATTGAATTTCACAAAAATATCGCCATACTTATCGGTTCTAAACGCTGCAGCCCTGTTAATGCAGCCACCTGCGAATCCTGAATGCAGTTGCTCGATGGTACTCACACCAAGTTGCTCCTTGATCGTTTCCATAATTGCTGAGGAGGATGCTGAGGCAACAGCAGTAGTTACAAGACGACGCACTGGAACCAGCCCACCTTTCAGCAGCATCAACGAATGCACTTTGTGATCCAGAAAAAATACCACAACACATCACACAATCGATGAAGAAAGGCCACAGTGCATGAGTCTGTTACAATGTTTTTTTCAATCAAATTTTCTTTGGAATTATTACAAGAAGCGAGTCGTCGCCATCAAAAATCGTTCACTTGCGATATGAACTTGTAATAATTCATTGAGATATGCTGCAACTTGCTGACATCTGCTATGCTTCTTTACACAGCTCACTGGAGGCAGTTACTAAAACTCGGCTCGGCAGAGCAAACTGCACTCATTTGCGGGTTTGAGTGCAAGCCGCAAAGCTCATAGCCGAGCACAATTCTTGCTCAGCATCATAAATCCATATAACCCTTCTCCCCAGTAACTATCACCC